GTAGCTCTCTTTCCCAAGGGCAATGGGGAGACACAGAAGGTGTTGGAGCAGGGTCAGGATGAGATCACATCTACCTGGTAGAAAGCCCTGCAGCCCTTGCCTCATCCAGGCCTGCCTCCTCTGTCTTGGAGGCTGCCTCAGCCTCCACCTTCCCTTTCAACAGTCTCCATGGCAGCTGCAGGGCTTCTTACAACTTAAAAATCAATCATGTCGGGACTTCCCTGGTGGCGCAGTGGTTAAGAATCTGCCTGCCAATGCACGGGACATGGGTTTGAGCCCTGGTCCAGGAAGATCCCACATGCCATGGAGCAACAAAGCCCGCGCACCACACCTACTGAGCTCGCGTGCCACAACTACTGAAGCCCACACGGCTAGAGCCCGTGCTCTGCAGCAAGAGAAGCCACCGCAATGAGAAGCCTGTGCACTGCAACCAAGAGTAGCCCCCGCTCACCGCAACTAGAGAAAGCCCGCGTGCAGCAACGAAGACCCAACGCAGCCATAAATAAATAAATAAATAATAAATAAATAAATAAATAAATAAATAAAATTAATCATGTCGTTTCCTCACTCCAAAGATGCCGTAACCCTCAAAACAACACCCTCTCTCCTCACCCAAACCCACAAGGCCCCATGTGACTAGTCCCTGTGATCTCCTGTCCCCTCTCCCTCCATATCCTCCTTACCCACCTCCAGTCACAGCTTCTTGGCTGCAATTTAAATGCTCTCATATCGTCTAACCTCAGGGCCTTTGCATATGCTGTATCCTCTGCCTGGAACATCCTGCTCCCAATTCTTCCCAAGGCCATAACCTCCTCCTTCAGGCCCCATCTCTGCAGTCCCAACCCCGACTTCCTTCCTGGCTAGCGCCCGTCCCCATCACTGTGTGTCCAGTTACCTCATTTTAATTCTCCTCAAAGTTCTTACCACTTCTGGTAACTTCCTGTTTCACTGTTCGCAGGTTTGTGTCCTCACTATAAGGTGGGTCAGTGCCCACTGACCTTTCCCATGGGGCTGGGAGGAGGAGTACAGGGCAAGGTGTGTAGCACACAGTAGGTGCACAATAAATAAAGAAGGGACACAAGAAGTGGGACAGAGGACAGTAGAGCTGTAGTCCCAGTGAGAGGAGGTGAGCCCGGGGAAGAGAGGGGAGGCTGCGTGGTGGCAGGGCGGGATTCAGAAGGAGCCTTGCCAGAAGCAGGTGGGCCCAGCGTCCCATGCAGCTAGGAGCAGTATCACCCCCGTGCCTCTCTCTCCGGAGCCTGCCATCAAGCTGGCAGTGAGAATCAGTCTGCAGGGGGGATGTAAGCTGAGGGCAATAGGGAGCCATGGAGGGTGTGTGTGGGGGGCAGGGGAGGATGATGTGAGATCTGCCTGAGAGAAGCTTCCATAGCCTCTGCTTCATCCTTGCCCTGTTTTACTGGTGTATATTTTCTTCTGGAAGTGAGATTTTAAGGATGAATGGATCTGAGTTAAAACTTGTAAATCACTTAAAAAAACAAACAAACAAAAGACCTCTAAGTCTTTGCAAAACATTTTATTCCCTGAGGACCTGGTCTCCAGTCCTCACTCTGCTGTGTGAGGCCCCCTTTGCCACTGCCCCAATCCCTGTGAAGCCTGTCTCAGACACCTGTCCGAGGGTGGCGGGGCTGGGGGGTCACCAGTTCACTTGGATCTCCCCAGCCTGAGAGACACACAGGGGCGGGGGCCAGTCCTGGGTCCCAAGAACTTAGGGTTCCCCAAGGACCTGAATATCCCCCTTCTCTGGGCACTACGGTGTGTGTGCTGGCCTTGGGCCCAGTGAAGACCCCTCTTGCCCCAATACTCTCTCCTGTATTGTCGGGGAGCACCAGTGTGGGGCTGGGTCCCGTCAGGGACTCCAGAAACTCTGAGCTCCCATAGCCTAAGACAGATAGCTCCCTCCCTCCTCTGCCCAATGTTTCCACCATTAGAGCACTTGAAGCCACAAGCAGGGAGGGGGCGGTCCCATTCCCAGACTCTCTGGCCCCTCCTACCATCTGAGGGGTCCAAGATCCAGGGAGGGGTGGAGAACAGAAACCCTCTCTTCCCAGCTGAAAAAATCCTTCTTGCTTCAGCTGCGTGTGGACCCAGGTGTTCTCAATTGGCCTTGAACCATTGCAGGAATTCACCCACCATTGCAGGTTCACAACCAAGGAGAGGCTGGTCACTGCTTAGGTTTGAGCCCATGATCAAGGTCAGGGCTAGGAAGTGGGACATGGAAAAGGGATGGATGCAGCAGCAGCAGCTGGGGCCCTAGCAGAAGTGCTTCTGCCATTAGCTGACATGGAAAGAGATGGTCCTTCCAGCTGAGAGTCTAGGGAGGATGCTGGAACACGGTCTAGGCAGTACTAGGTGAGTCTTGAAGGATGTGTAGGAATTCACCAGCCAGACTCATCCAACCTCCCTGGTACTCTCCTAGGTCCTTCCCACTTAGGAGGACAAAGGTCTCAGCTTCCGGGGAGGAAGCTGCTGCCCTTTCTATGGGGATGGAGACAGTAGCCTCGAGGCTGGGGGACCTGACTCCACCTTAGTAGATCTGTGTCCGCTTGTCACAGGTGAGGTTGGGCTGGTTCAGCATGTCTCACATGAGCAGCATCTCATAGGGCAGGAAGCAGTGCACCAGCGGCAGCTCTCGGTAGAAGCAGGGGTCAAAGGAGGACAGGCCGCTGGAGGGGGCCTGAACACCGGCCGTGAGGATACCACTGTGTGAGGTCCTCCTGCTTTTGGCACATGCCCAGGAAGACATCATCAATGGGGAAGAGGTCCAGGGTGGGGCGGGGGGGGGGGGGGCACAGG